CAATTTTTTAGTAGGCAGACATATTTTAATTTATCACAAATTAATCAACTTTGAATGAAGTTGAAGCTCATTTGCTATCCTAAGTAGTGAATTTTACCTGCATAAAAGGATTAGTACAAAGAGAAATACCTTTTTTTTAAAATTTTTTTTTCAATTTTTGAAGCATTTTCATAGAAGCTAGTTGTTTTCCTTTATTTGTTTCATCTTTTGGATATATGATCGACCTCCTTTTGTACTCATTTTGTGGTCCTCTTGAGCCATATCCATGGCTTATTAGTCTCTTTCATGAACTATGGGGTCCTTCCTGAACATTTTAAAAGGTAGATCAAAAGAAATGGTTGTTTGATTCTCTTCTTCATCGTATCTTTTTGTAGATTGACTCTCATTTTCTTCATGTTATATTGGTGGTAGTAACTTTGCAACAAGCTTATAAAAAACAACCATCATGTTATCAGTTATTTGTTTGAACATGATTAATGAAATTGGAGAAAGTCTCCTCAAATTTCTTTGAACTTCTCGTGATTGTATATTCTCCCAATTGATGGATTTTTGTCTCCATGAAAATATCTTGGTTTTCCCTTAATTTTATACAAACCATAATAAAATTCCTATGAATTGGAACTATGCTATGATTCCAGAGTTAATTTGGAATTGATGTGCAGATGATTTATGGAGTTGGTAGGAGAAACAAGACCACGAGAAATAGGTTTCTATGGAGGAATTGAGAATTTTAGGTTAATCCATTAATGTATCTAAAGAGAGGGAAAGGACTTAGGGCTTGCTCTTTGGAATCCATGCCCTAATGTTTTGGATGAGATTGGATGGCATGCAAAAGGAGGAAGTGAGAGTGAGGGGCTTGGGTAAGGGCCTCTTTGGCTAAATCCATAGAAAAAAAATATTGAGGATGAATTTATATAATTTACTTTTATCTTAATTTTTCGATCTGAAGGCCTTATGTTTATAAAAAAAAGTAGCAAATCATGTATATACACAATTCTAACTAATTGTGCTAATTTAAGAATCCTTATCCTAAATGTCCTACATCACTTTAAGTTATGGATAACAATAGCTTAAAGCAAGGGAATATTATCTTGGATCTCTCCTTAAATGTCAGTCGACCATGTAAAAAAATATGGAGCTGGATCTCTCCTTAAAATGTTGGTCAACCATGTAGAAAAATAAGGAGTAAATTAGGATAGAATATTAGGTTTTTTTTTTCCTTTTATTTGCATCCTGATAAAGGATGTACCAAGTGATTTAGGAAAATGTATTAATTTTTATGAATATAGTCATGCTATAATAAAAATTTGATTTGTATAGGCATTTAAAAGATCAAAAGTGGTGTAACTGTTTGATGCAAAATATAGTAACTCTAAAATTGCATGACAAAATTAATAGCAAAAATTAAAATTTAATAAATGTATTTAGTTATGTTCAAAAGTTAAAATTAAATGCATAAAATCTTAATTCTCATTAAATAAGTGCAAGTTAATTATTAGTCATCATACTATTTCATTCATTTAATCTCTTTTCCTTCTAGTAAAATTTTTTCGTAAATGTTCAAAACCTATTTTTGCTGATATTGAGTCAACCTCATCTTTCCTTTCTTTGATAATAATATAAGTAGATGCAGACCAAAATGAACTAGCCCTCATTGTGGGTTAATCATCTTGTTTTTTTGACATACTACATCATGAAGACTATCTTCTATCAACTTCTCTTGATACCTATTAAATTTGTCTTCAAATTAAGTCTTCATTACCAAAATGTTCCTCACCAACATCCTCAAATTGTCAATTATCCACTTTCAACTTTTATTAATATAATATAGACTAATTTGATCAATTATATATATATATATATATATATACATTTAGATGCAATTGATTTCTCTTTTTTATGTGAATTTTTAGGAAAAAACAATCAAAAGAAAATATTCAAAATGTGTATTCTTTAGTATATTTAAATTGATAAATTACAAACATATACAAAACACTTTAATTCCTCTCACAGCTAGTAATTGCAAGTCAAGCATAAAACTTTAATTGTGAATTTTGTAAAGTTGGGATTGATGCATCATACATTTCTCATTGCTTCGTTGTATTAATATTACAGTAGTATAATCAAGCAAAAAAATTACATCAATAGAAAAGTTTAAACTATTATGAAGTTTTATTTATAATTTTACATGGAGATTTCTTGTCTCTATGTTAGTACACACAAGAGTAAATACAAATCTTCTAAAATTGTTAGGAGATAACTACACATTTGAACAATAATGTTTGGAATCATCAAAACTACATAAGTTGCAAAAATGTAAAGCATTCAAATAGCAGCTATCTTAACAATTTCTTGTATCTATTGCAGATTATAAACTTAGCTGTAAATTGACAACTAATATGATTGTAGATAAAGAGCTCCTGATCTATAATCATTCTCTCAGACGAGTCTCCCACTAATATGCTAATAATTGCATATAAAGCCTCCTTAAATTGCCCAACTCATTGCAATATAGATTTGTTCTTGTAAAAAATTTTGGCTTAAAGATAATAGCTAACTTGATGCAATAATTTGCATAGGTGACACCTCCATCTTTCATTAGTGATACGAATGACTTGCTCATTTTGTTTTTCAATCTCCTTAGAATACACTATTAATTGCATCCCTAACTTTATTCACTGAATCATAAGTTTAACTCATAGCTGACATCTTGTCACCATTTGCTAATGTTAATATCTTTACTTATAGGCTTATAACCTTTAAAGAATATGTCATATCATTCCCAGATTTAATCTTGGAAATGATGCTCTTAGCTTTATATTTTTCTAATCAATATTAAATCTGGATTTGTTTTATTATTCAGCAACAATGATATGTCTTATATTTTCCTTTTTCTTGTGTATGTGTGCAAGATAGATGAAGTTGCGAAATGTGTGATACCCATCTTCACAAATTCTGTACTTGTGCATTTACCAAATTGCATTGAGAATAAGCCCATGATAATGCATTTAGTAATTGCATTAAGAATAAGCGCATGATTATATATAAAGGCATATAATTCTATTGCTTTCCTAGTAGTGTTTTTTATTTGATAAGTCTGCCCATCATCCTCCATTATTGAATCTATGCAATGGGCCTCTATATGAAATCTAACATAGATGCAACCTCTAATAGCTTAATAACCTACAAGAGCTTAAGATTCATTCACAATGTAATAAGAAAATTAAATTTATATAAATAAACTATATTAATTACCAACAAACAATGGCATAACTAGAGTGGTTGTTAATAATCATATGCTGCATTCTCTACAATGTTTTCAATTTGTGCATTAATGAGTGCAATATGCTTCAATGCGATTGTAAAATATTAGGACACATCAATTGATTCCAAAAATGCTATGTACGATGATGATAAATTGACCAGCAATTTTGATTTTAATCATCTTTTCAAAAATAGCTTGAAAAGTAGAGATATGTGCTCCAAATCATGCAATTTGGAACTTGAGAAATACAATAATTTAAACATGTTTTAAACAATTTTTGGTCAAAATAATATCTTTATTAATTTAAAAATAAAAAATATTTAGTCTTAAAACCATGAACAAATAATTTAAAAACAATGAATACAAGTTCCAAATTCATGCAACTTAGAACACAGTTGTAATTAGCTATAATAAAAGTGTTCCAAGAGATTTGTTTGAAAATAATCTTTTATAATAATTACAAATTAAACTGGGCAAAATTTAATTGTGTTCATCATCCTTTGATTTTTTGGTAAATTAAACTCCATCAAGAGCATTCAAAGAGTTAGCTAACATTAAACTAATCATCTTCGAATCTGCAATTGAATACTTAGTGTTCTCGCCATCTTGAAGTCATCTTCAAACTGCAAAGGCTCTGAATAAGCCTAGTGCCACATGTCTTATTCGTCATCCCTAGTGCCACATGTCTTATTCGTCATAGTTGCTGTTTTGACTATAAGACCCCTACGTACTTAGCAAATTATTATTTAACGCCATTAAAGTTTCTTAATCATTGAATTATTGATGAGCCAATCTTAACATATATGGTAGGCATTAAGGCTCCTTTCTCCTTTCTATCTCTCTCTCTATTCTATTCAGCTTTTTAATTTCTGTTTGTATTTGCCTCTCTACCCATAAAATTTCTTCATATGCCTTCCATTGTTTTGTTTACAGGAGAACAATGTTAATTTTTTTGGAGAGAGAGCCGAGATGAAAGAATGGGGTTTGGTCATCACAACAGATTAGACTTACTTACCATTCTCTCATCTTCTTATTCTTCTCCTCACACTATACCACCGAACAGATAGTTTGTTAATGCAAAGCCCCATTATATGCTTAACAATTGCATCATACAAAAGTTCACTCTATTTCTCCATCTCTTACGCGCTCACCACGTCTTTTTGACTTCTATTGGTCTTTGTTTCTCTCTCCATAAGATTTCTTCATATTACCTTCCATTGTTTTGTTTACAAGATAACAAAAGTCATTTTTTTATGAGAGGCAACTAACTAAGAGGAAAAATGGGGTTTGCACATCCTAACCACTATGTTCACCACCATCTCTCATCTCTTTCTCCACAAAAAAAGAACGAACGAATAGTTAACAAAACATTCTCATATGCTCAACATCAAAACCTTCAAAAAGACCTTAGGACACAAAAAATCATTAAAATGAAAGATCTACGTGCTCAGTTTTGAGAACTGATTGCCTTTGATACAATCAGGTTCTAAATGTCGGAATTGTATTCCATTATATGTAAAGTGTTTATTGGTCTAAAGCAAACTTAACAAGGAATTTTTTTTTTTTTTTAACATTTGAATTATTGCACGGGATTTCCATTCACTTGATTTATCATAACTGTTTTGTTACTGGTCGTTGTTTCATTTTTTTTTGAAAAATCTATCTAATTCTGTGGTATGTTCTTCAATTTGACGTTTGATTCAATGCTTCCCTTCAATTTATTTTCATTTCACAGGGTTTTGATGAGTACATGAACTTGGTTTTGGACGATGCTGATGAAGTCAACATCAAGAAGAATACAAGAAAACCTTTAGGTGAGAGGCTGCTCTTGCATTTTTTAGTTTATTTTCTTGCACTTTTTTAGACTCTTTTTTCCTCAGATTTTTGTTGAATTTTCGCAGGGAGAATTCTCTTGAAAGGAGACAACATAACCTTGATGATGAACACGTAAGTAAATCTCAAAAAACTTCTTTCTTTCAATCTGAAGTCTCAGCTTTTATCATCCCCTGCAACTCGCTCACTTAATCCTTCTTATTTTACAGGGGAAAATGATTTCCGAAGCTGATGCCAGACTTGCTATGTTTCTGTAAGATTTATTAGTGAATGAGAATATCCTCTCTTATTAGCTTGACTTTCTTGGTTTTCACTGTTAGCTGTAGAACGGTAGGAAATGATTTCCTAGAAGCCTTTTACTTCTATTTTCTTTCCTCAAGCGTTGAATGAAGCTGCCTTTTGCTATTATTGCAGTATCGTTTTGTTACTTCCAATGCATCTTTTGCCAATTGCGATATTTAGAAATGGTCTATCAGTAATGTAATTTATAGTCGGGTGCAAGAAAAACAAGTTTGAATCGTGAACAAATCTCTACATGGCCTAGGTTTGTCTCTGTTTTCAAAATTGAAATTTCATTTTTTTTTTATTTTCGTGATTTATAGCTTACAATCCTTGATAGAGATTTTTTTTTTCTTGCAAATGAACAAATTTTATTGCTGAAATAGATTCAGAAAATGCATTTTTTAAAGCATTCTCATAGCAATTCTATTTAGGTTCTATTTGGTTTGAAGCAAAAGGGGTGTAAAGTATATTATAAATGTAGGGGTTTTAATAATACTGGTGTTTTGTTTAAAGTAAAAGAAATATAAAGTTTAAATTATTCATCATTAATCATCTATTTTAATTTTGATGTTTTTGAAAATCTTGAGACTTAGCTGATTTTTAGATGCACTATAAATTTTGTCATTATTATTGCTGCCACTAGCAGCTGTTGCCGCCGCTCATTGCTCGCCACCTCCAGTCACTGCCAACTGCGTGCCAGTCGTCGCCTTTGATATTGTAGGCTGGCCACTATCATCTTTGGGTTAAATATTGTAGGAAAATAAATAATAATAATAATCTCCTGCATCTATTTTATATTCATATAATTTTAAATATTTCAGATACACAATACTCTTAACATTGTATTTTATTTTATATTGTATTCTTTTTCAGTCCCTTCCAATGGCCCCTTATACATTACTCTATTTGTTGATCTCCTTACAACAACAACGACAACATCAAGCCTTTATCCCACTACGTGGGGTTGGCTACATGAATCCTTTTTCTCCATTGTGTCCTATTAAAAGTTAAATTCTCGTTTAAATCTAATAAAGAAAGTTCATTTCTAATATTTTCTAACCAAGTCTTTTTAGGTCTACCCCTACCTTTCTTAACACAAGTCAAACCTAATATTCTATTTGTTGATCTCCTTAAGGAAAAAAAAAAAAAATTCTTAGCCAAATTGTCTGCATTAGCTTCTGGCATCAGTTCAAAACTCCGGATTTTAACATAGCAAATGATTCGACCCTAAGTTTCTTGTGCCTTCATTGACCTGCTTTGCTGGAACCATTTTTTTGATATCAATGATCTTACAAGCTGTATAGCACTACTAGTGGGAGACCAGACCAAACCAGCCATGTTTGTGCCTTTTTAATATGTTCTTGAGCCGAAAGGCATCTTTTTGGTGTAGGTCAGTTTATGTCTTCAACTTAGGTTTCATTTGAGATTGACTTTTCTAAGAAGCAGCTTTTAAGTAAGAAAGCTGTATCAAACGAAGTCTTAGATGATGCAGGTAAGGTTATGTCTTCATTATGGGCAGATCCCCAATTCCGGCGGGGGGAGTGGCAAATGCCCGCTCTTAAAATTTTAGAGGGTATATTTTGGGTATTTTGCTTCATCTCAAAAAAATTTTGTCATAATTTTATCAATTATATGCGTCTTTGTTCATACCCTACAAAAATTTTTTTTTTGCCCACCCTGAAAAAAGAAGCTGGATCTGCCTCTGGTCTTCAACTTAAGTTTCATTTGAGATTGACTTTTGTACTGCTTCTTAAAATAGTTTTTTAGTAAAAAAAACTAAAATTATGTATTAAAAAGCTGTTTTAAGAAACAGTGAGAAAGCCATCCCAAATGAAGCCTTAGATTAAGCAGATCAGGTTTATGTCTTCAACTTCGATAATTTGATCATAATATCTCTATTTGAAGTGCTATTTTCTTTCTTCTGTGGTAAGCAAATCTGTTCTATTAATCAGCTCAGATTTTATTACCTTTAAATGAAGATCAAAATTATTTGTTCTCTTTAACGTTAGTGAAGTTAGGGTTCTGCATGATTTCATTTGATCGTTAATCGAATATATTAAAGTTTTTGTGATGCATAGCTCATATTATTTAAGAGGAGAATTTTGATTTCAACGTCCAAAGACTTTGCAAATGAGGTGGAATAAGAGACATATAAGGTGATTGTTGATATCTTGTCTATATTTGATAACATTAATTTTTTTTTTTTGTTTTGTTTTAGATCACAATCAATAATGGATTACTAACTTTGAAGATTATAGTCATAAAATAGGTTTTATTTGAGATATATTTTTTACTATTTTATAAAATATATTTGTAGCATAAAAGTTTTTTTATTTTGTTTTTACTATGAAATTGTTTTAGAAAGTATTAAGAAAGTTATTCTAAATGAAACCATAGAAATTTGTGTGTGTGAGAGAGAAAGTTATTATACTCTAAATTTTTTTATCTTGAGATTATAAATGAATGAAAACAGGTAGATCATTATTTTTTCAAACTTATTCATTTATTTTATTATTAAATTCAAGTAGAATTGAATTAAATTTTTAAAAAAGATTAATAATCATGTTTATTAAATTTTTATTATGTATGTGTATTATTGGGGTCAATGAATTATATATTTGATGTTGAAATTTTAAAAACATGTTTTATTACCTGGTATTACTGGATTTTATGGCTTTTAATTGAAATTGATATAATTTATAAAATATTATTATTGTTATTTAGTAATATTTGCACATTATATAACAAATATTATAAAAATGTTTAAAATATTTAGTCTAAAATAATTACTCAAAGAAACATATAGTAATATATCACATAAATAATTAAACCATTATTAAAGGAGATTTTAAAGCTTATTTTATGCATACATAAAGTTTTAAAAATTTTGTTCAACTTATTTAATTCATTAAAAAATAAATGAGTTATATATGAACAAACAGTACACGTGCAATAATTCACTTACACCCTTTTAAAAAAACATAACAAAATTTAATTTTCTAATGGCTAAAAGAAAACTTTTAATTTTGTTCAACTTATTTAATACCAATAACTTTTTAATATTGAAATCTTATTTAAAATTCTTTACAAGTTTCAAAATTTATTTTTGAATAAATATTTTTGTTCTCTAAATAAATAATCATCTCTTTCCTTATATATGTATTAGAAGTATAAAAACGGGTCAACGGGTTGGTTTCAATCTGATCTGAAATTGGTCTTATTCGTATTCGGTGAACTTAAATCATATAACAAAAAATAATTTAAAGAAAAAATATTAAATTGATCTTCTTTGGATTAAAATTGGATTAGCAGGTTAACAGTAATCCAATTCATTTAATAAATGATATGAAAGGTATCACCCGAATTTGATCAATTTATTAAATAAGTTAATTTGAACTCAAATTTTTAGAGTCTGAATGAGGGAACTTTTATTTGGTCCGGTTACATAACGTAGCTCTACGTTCGGACGCCAGTAAAATAGTGCCACGTGTTCTCACTATTTACCGCGCGACTCGACAACCCCGACCCGGAATGGAGCCGGGATGGTTTTTCTTCTCGTATTGCTAGGTATTGCTCGGTATTATTAGGTATTGGTTGATTTTACTCTGCAACAACAAGAAATACCATTATGTGAAGACCAATACCGAGAAATACCGAGTTTTTCTCGGTTTTGCTCGGTATTTTCGGTATTGCTCGGTATTAATCTTGACAGAGTGCCATTTCGCGTTATTGCCAAGCAATACCGAGCAATACTGAGCTTATGCGAACATAGCAATCCCGGGTTCCGGTCCGGGTCGGGTCGTGGGGCCGCGCGGTAAAGAGTAAGAGCATGTGTCGACATATTATTGACGTTCGAATGTAGAGCTACGTTAGGTCACCTGACCTAATAATTGTTCCTGAATGAGGAATCTCTTTTATGAGTTATTTTATCACAACTGGGTTGGGCCCACCTGCGGATTTCCGATCTGCTAAGCATAGAATACTTCTCTGGGGCCCAACAGCAATAAGATATGGATCCTAGTGTGCGCCACTCACGAGGCCTTTAGTGGCAGATATGGGCCCTGACAGTGACTGACTGCGACCGTTAATGGGCCTGGATGGCCCGCCATTTTGTCAACGTGCACATAGGCCAATAATACAAATTCTTGAATCCCGAAAATAACCTCGTCAATATATTATATTGACGAACATATATCTCTGGTAAGAAATAATCCAAGTTGACTTTCAGTTAAACAAATCACAATAAAAAAATTTCTGTGTATCTAAAAGAATAAAATTATTAATTATATGAATAATTTTAAATAAAGATTGTAATAAGATTAGTTATAATGACTTATCAACAACTAATTTTTAACGGTTATGTCACATCAGATCGTATGTATGATCACCTAATCATATGTACGATTTACAGTTTGTATATAAGATTATGATTATATGTACGATTTTTTTGAATTCAAGAAATTCAAGAAAAATTTAGACATGATTGCCAAGTTAATTTTATTTAACAATATAATAATTCAAAATTGAATTTTTAAAGTATTTTGTTAATTTGTATAATTATAATTATTCGAAGTATATTTGTGTATTTGTAAATGAGGATTTTATTATAGTTTAATTAAGTTCATTACTTAATGATCATTGGTAAATTTAAATCAAATAATTTATAAAAAAATTTATTAATACACAAACTTTGAAATGTACGCTTAGGTTTCATTTGAGACGGTTTTCTTATTGTTTCTTAATGCAGTTTTTTAATACAAAATTTTTAATTTTGCATTAGAAAGATGCTTTTAAAAGCAGTAAAAAGTCATCACAAATTAAGACTTAATCTTCATGTCTTGTACTGTTGAGCTCATTGTTTGAGAGAGATTTCCATGAAATAGTTTATCTTTACTATAGTGTTAAGAGGATTTCATGAGAATTAACATGATTTGATGTTTTGCCATCAAGTGTTTAGCTATGAATTTTAGAACTAAAGTTTGGATTTTTAATCTAGGAGGTTACTTGAGTTTATAATATATGTGATCACTTTGACAATTTCATATAAAATGTTCCATGAGGCTACTATTTATATGCACATGCATTAAATCTTAAGAGGGTGTATGGCAAGTAAGGTAATTTCATATAAAAATTAAAAAAAAAAGTATTCATTTGTGAAAGTATTTTTAGTTTAAA